CAAAAAAATCTGGCAACGCTAATGTATCTACCAGGTCAGTTTAAGCAAAGAGTAAATGGGTACTCTTTGGTTCAGGTACCTGTATAAAGTACTGAAAAATATCAAGCCCTATTCATACAAGATAAAAATTTTAAAAAAATTTAGCAAAGTTGATTTCGATCAGAAAATTAACTTTTGCGAACTGATGTCCCAAATAATTGATAAAGATCATATTTTTTTCAAAAACATCTGCTTTGTCGACGATATGTAGGTATTTTCTTCTTGAACGAATTTGTGAAAAACACAATTGTAGATACTGATGGTATAATGAAAATCTACACTTACTTTGCGAAGATCGCCCCAATTCAGAATCTAGAAGAAGCCCTCTTTGGTGAGTCAAGTGGTCGCACTTACAGCAAGATGGGGCTCCGCCACATAAGCAGTACACCAGTGATGTACCTAATTGATTATGTCAGCGTTACTCTGTAACGCCCCTCAATTTTGTTCATCATTCATCGACGTTGATTTTTACATCGTCAGCAAACATCAGTTTTGTGAGGATATACTTGCCGGGTAAATCGTTAATAAATAATAAAAAATAAAGTAGAGGCTCCATATTATAGCTCTGAGGTGGGCCAGCTCTTGCATTACAGGACTGTGATGCGTACTCATTTTATATAACGGGCGATCTAGAATGCGTTGCTGTCGAGTCGCCTTTGGAATTTCAAGTTAAATATGATTTCCCATGTTAACAAAAATTCCAAAGGTAACTCGACAGCAACTCATTTTTGATCGCATAGTACCTACTACCCATTGAGTACTACCTACTCACTGCTTTCTATCGTTTAGGTATGTACATACCTAGCAATTGAAAATTATCACTTATAATTGTACAAGAGGTTTGTATTTTACCGAGTAAATTTGGGTTGCTTAGGTAATGAAAATCTGTTGCCTGGCAATTAGACGAGAAAAACTGTCAACTAATAAAAATGCGACACCGAAGGTGGAGCATTTTTAGGTTGACAGTTCTCTTTGCGTCGAGTTCAATTGCTAAAAGGAAACAGATTTGAATTGCAACAACCCAAATTTACTCGGTTTAAATACAAGCCTCGAGTGTAATTCGGCAGGACAATTTAACGAACAAGAAATTCACCAAACTAATCAATTATTGACAGACGTCAATCTAGTCATATGGGAAAGGATAATGCGATAATTGGGTCGAAAATGAATAAGTGAAAAAACCACTAGTGCATTTGTCGCTGGAATAGTTGCAGGTAACTTTTGCCGCTGTCAAAGTGACAATTGCACTGCGGCTTATGCGATTTTTCATGCATGAGTTGAATTGTCATATATAATACCATAAGTAGTCGAAGTATTGTCGAATATTTTTGAGGTGCTGTCACGAATGCTAGTTACGCTGATTAATACCACGAGCGCTTGCGCGAGTGGTATTAAAAAGCGTAACTAGCATGAGTGGAGCAGCAGCTCAAAAATAATCTACAAATACTTCGACTACGAATGGTATTCGGAGGACTATTCAACGAATCAAAAGAAAAATTAAGCATAATTACCCACGCGAATGTATTTCCATGACAACAACACACGTCAAAATAAATTATGGAAGTTGCTTTTCATTTTGCTATTGATTCTATTCGAACTTTTGTGCTCCAAGCTAATTCGTTATGAGTGATTAAATTAAAAGATGTGGTGATAAGTCGGTTGTCGAAATTGATTAACAAACTAAGAAGAATGTTCCGGTTAATACGACAAAATTTCGCGTCATTTCACTGGTGGAAGTTTGACAAATGTCATTGAATAATCGCATTGAATTGTCGCTGAAATACCACACGTGAAATTATCGCTGAAATACCACAGTGCAATTATCACTATAATTCGTTCCCATTGGCGCAGCAATTTGAAATCGAGACATTTCACTGGTTGAAATGTGACAAATGTTAGATGAATTGAATAGTCATATATAATACCATAAGTAGTCGAAGGTATTGTCGAATATTTTTGAGGTGCTGTCACGAATGCTAGTTACGCTGATTCATACCACGAGCACTTGCGCGAGTGGTATTAAAAAGCGTAACTAGCATGAGTGGGGCAGCAGCTCAAAAATAATCTACAAATACTTCGACTCCCCCTGAAGACGCGCGCCTTACAAAAGGTGGTTAATTTCGCCACTAGGAAAAAAATTACGTCACGCAGGAGGTGTGCGCGTTAAGATCTTTCAGACGACACCAATTTGAAAAAAATCGACCCAAAACTGTAGAAGATGTAGCCGATTCCACATCATGTAGTCCCCTTCCTGAACTTAATGGGGTCATCCCGCCTTCATTTTTTATTTCTGATCCACAAAGTACATTAAAAATAAAAAGACCCGTGTGTCTTCAATTTTTATTTGCGAGTAAAATAAACCCAAAATAAATTATTGAAAAGCTGTGTTTTTAGTCCGAATTTGAAACGCTTCAGACTAAATACGTCACAAACCTACAACCAATCACGTAGAAATGAGCTGGCAACCTTCGCGGACGTTTATCACATTTGACGTTTTGAGAGAGATGTTTAACTGCATCTAGCCATAGATATATAAATACATAGATACAGCCATACCCCAACATAGTTCAAAAGGACGTACCATCTATTACCATCACTTTCGGCACATTAATTACGTATAGCGCTATCCTTTATAGAGGTACCCTGAGCATGGAAGACAAGATTCGCATTATTTATTATAACTGTCAATCAAATTGTTAGCACAAATCACACAGAAAATTATCAGATTTGAGACTTTACAACATAAATAAACCGCCTTTTTATTTATTTAAATCGCATAGCAGCAAGAAATGTTACATTTAAAATGGAAGATGTTACTTAGAAAGCTGGAAAAAGAAGAATTTGAAAAAATTACAGCTGACAAATGGAAGAAAGTGTGTGAACATGTGGAAAGTGATTAATTTAAAAGAGAAGTTATATTGGTTGATGTTTCTGAACTTTATAATAAGTGTTAATAATGACAGTGATGATTCGGATTTGTCAATTTCATCTAACGATGATTCGGATTGTGAACTTTTATAAATGTAATGAATGTTCACTAAATGAGTATTATCACCAATTGGATATCATTGCTAAGATGTTGTATTTATTTTAAATAAATGTACACGTGTAGCTTACTTACTACAATTAGCACTATAATTTCAAAAAGAGACCCCACCGATTGGACATATGCCGAAAGGTAGGCAAGACGCGTAGCGACCAAAATTTGATATTGCACGCACACACAGTCTATAAATCTCGTTTTCCTAAGAATATTGCACGGATCCTTCTTTGTGATCATGATACAAACGCACTGCATCAACATCATATAGGCCAAAATGATAATTGGAAACGAATTCACTTCCTGTCGCAACTTAATCTCCGTAACCATTACGCTTACAACCATGTAATTAAAATTAAATTGTTGAACATAAACTTTACTTACTTACGGTTTTTTTTGATATTCTACAAGCCAGCAATGAATTCACTGCAGCACATCATGCCAAACAAGGTAAACATAGTCCCAAATTTGAATGGCGTAGCTCTATGTAATAAAACTATTTCAGGAATAACAATTATGGACGCGTCTATCATTATGGCAAGCACTAATGTTATTCGTATTCAATTGATAACGCAATAATCACATAATATTTAGTGAAAAAACCGCCCATCATGTTTAGGGCGAATATTTTTAGTTAGATTTGATTTCGCGCGATCGTGAAATGTGTCAACTGTCACATGACTTATGGGACGCGCTAAGTTTGTTTTAAGCGTCCGATTCGCGTACGACATAGTGGTTAATGCAATAAAAAGAGATAGAACATGTTTCTTCTTGGTTAGAAAGTAATGGAGAGATGTACAAATTTCTTTGATATGTTTTTTAAAAACCGAGGTACGTTTGTTAAGGATGGCTGTATCTAGGTATTTATATATCTATGCATCTAGCACGAAAGTGACAAGTGCCTGTGACAGATGACGTAAGTTACAAATGCCATTCTCCTGCAATATTGCCACGTCGTTATGTCATCTGAATGGTTCTAGGAGCTGATTGGTCGGGCTTATTACGTCACAGAGCCCGCCACAATCATATCGTTTTGAATAAACCTTTAAAACCGCACATGTTCATTATTTTTTGCTAATCAGCCTCTATTTTTAAATAAACTTTTACTGTCCAAAAAAATGTTTTATGGTTTCAGGTACACGCTTATTAAATTAGAACTGCGGAATTCAACTATACTGTAAACCCCCATTAGCCCCCTTACCCCTCAGATAAATGTACACTCCTCATCTCGTCTTTCTACAAGCATTCTTCTACGGAACCGTATTAGCTGCCAGCCAGCCGGCCAAAGTGAGAGATTCAAAGCTACATCTTTACTAATAAATTTGCAAAAATGCGCTAAGAACGGATCAAATGGAATGGAATCATCCAATCATCATACTGCATGTAATAACGCAGATTACACAGTAAATAGTACTTTTACACCTGTGTCACAGTATATAGGGATATTCTGGTCACAGTATATAGGGATATACTGTGCCTGTGCGTGGTAATAAATGGCTGTAGAGGCAACTAACATTACACGCGACAAACTTGGCTGTTTTTAGAGTGTTCAACATATCTGTGGTTCAACCCTGATACCATAATTATTGCAACCTTATCGTCGTGTGTTAAAAAATCACAATTTGATGCTAATAAAAATAAAGACTAATAGCTAACCCACATATGGCAAACACACTTCAAGTTACTGTTCCTATAGCGGACGCAGACTATCATTTAAAACAAATTCGTGTGAATTTGATTGGTTGCCTATTGTAGTCATCTATTCCATGCATTTAATCCTTTTTTTTACATAGTCCAGATGTAGGTATATACGTATACATTTTAAAAAAATTCCCTGTATCTGTATAATACCATTGTATATACAATGATAGTACCTTGAAGATTTACAAATAATACAGCATAATAGGTATAAAACAATAACAAAATAACAATCACCCTTTTTATTAAGAAATATAGACAAAGAGAGTGTACGAAATCTGGTAACCATAAAATTTGTTTGATTTTCATCACAACCTGCTTTCAGATGACCTATTAGTCTTGTAGTTATATCATAATACAAGGAACTACTTAGACCATTACGAATAATCAACTTTAATTAAATCATACTGAATAATGATTCATAATTATTACTCAGTTCATCTTCCTCTTCCTCGTCTTTATCCATCAAAGAATATTTCAAGTTATGGTTATACGGATACTGTGGATCCCACCAATCTATAATTTTAACGCCAGTAACATGATCAAAGACAATTGATGTATGATCACTTCCACCAGACGTTCTACCAGAATAATCATGCATCTGAGAGCTAAACTCTAACTGTAAACGCTGATAACAAAATCCCTGCGATAAAGTTAACAGTGCAGATTTTAAGATCAATCCTTCAACACAGGGGATAGGTATCAGACGTTTAGAGCTGATCAATAATATGTAACAATTTTCATCTGGATTTGCAGTTACATCCTCAAGCACATCTATCACATTTTGCTTACATGGAACTTGTTTCAATGATCGCATATACTCTTTAAATTTAAAACAGTACAGTAGTTCAATTCCTTGCTTATAAAATGCAGTCACACACTGTTTCTTAACTAAAGTAGCTGGATGTCTCATACATTGTCTAACTGATTTTAGTCGATTAGCAAAAGGTGGATACATAAAATATAAAGCACGTATCACAGAGGTACGCAAACCATACAATCGCACCATGTGATCTCGTTGCAAATGAATAGGTAAGCACGAAGAATATTTATAAAAACGTTTATACAAGGTAAACCAAAATTTGGCCGAGCAGACAACAGCGTACGAAGCTTTACATATACCAGCAAATATTCCTACATCTTGAGGTCGAATATGTTCAGATATTAAATACCAAATGTCTAACGGATGTGAATTAAACATTTGAACGTTGTCAACAGGTTCCTTGTCTGACTTTTTAATTTGCTGGCATTGTTGTCTTAAAACTAAAATGTAAGTACCATCCTCATTCATTTCACGTACATAATCAAAGTTTTCGTCATCGGCTATTTCATCCCAAGCTTTTTCAGATTCTTGCTTAACAACATTATTGGTAGATTTTTTTGGACGATTCGAACATACCACAGCGTTAGCAAAGTCGTTTATTGTAACATCTAGAAATATTGTTTATTTACAAATGGAAGGAAAAAGTTTAGGTTAACCTCCAAAACTTTTGGAATGTTGTCTGTTGGTCTTTTTATAATGTTTCAACATTTTCGTTCCTAGTCGTGAGTGTAATAGGGAACATACAAGCTAACTTAAAATTACATTCTCCTGAAGTAAGAGTAAAATAGTAACATATTGGAGTTTACGTCAGGCGCCATATTTGCATAAGAAGACAACAACAACGAAACGCCATCTACTCCACCGTAAAGCTGGATTCACATGCATACGAAATCCGACGATACTGTAATCCGAAAGGCGTATGATTGGTCAACAATTTCAAATGTGCTTGACATTCGAAATTGTTGACCAATCATACGCCTTTCAGATTACAGTATCGTCGGATTTCGTATGCATGTGAATCCAGCTTAAATTCGAATTCACGCAGATTCACGTTTTACAGTGCCGTGCTCATCAGAGGCGTAACCAACAACTCTTACTGAGCGACTTCGGGACAGTTCATTTATTACTTTGATCTCAGATCTCTGAGTCATCATTTGCAAGCATCTGAAATAAGAGTAAACATTCTATTCAAATTATTTTCGTAGTAATATAAATACTAAAAAGGAGGTTAAGAATTTACTTTGAGATGGGGATTGTTTTCTCGCACGTCAAATATCAAACATCTCAAATCAATTGTGCCATATCAAATTGAACGGTCATCTCAAAATAAAACATCTTACCTATTTAGGAAAAATCCCCTGTGTTTTCATCAAAAGTATCGGCACCATCTATTTTACATGGTATAATTTGTACACGGAGTACCCAAATTTATGATTTTGTAAATATGCTCCCAATGAAGTTTATTTAATGGATAAGGATATGGCTGATTAGATGATATTGAAGATTCGAGAACGAATGGTACTTTTGGTTTTTGATATAAAAGAAGTGTGACTTTTGTAAAATATAATATTCTCAAATTAAATATCTACTTTTACTTATGTGTATATACTCGCATCCGCGAAAAAAAATAACCGATTAAATTTTGATTTTGTTTTCGTAAAATGTTTTGTTTAGAAGTATGTCGAGTCAATTTGCCACGTAACAAAATCCCGATAAAATTTTGATGTTTGATTTTCAATGCGGTTTTAACATTTGAAAATTAATCGTTGAAATATGGACAGTAACCTTAGCAATTCTAATGCTTTTACTTTACTGCATGAAGGAAATAATCATAATTACAGATTGTCGATAATTATCAATAATCGATAAGTAAATATACAGGGTGTCCCTAAAAGGTCTGTACAACGCGTTACCAGGGGTTCTTGGTATCAAAATAGGACGATTTAACCCACCTTACCTCTATCCTAAAGTGCTTCGGTAAGGCGCTATCTACCGCCAAAGACTTAAAAAAAAAATCGTTATTTTTATTTTATCGGAAAATGGTTTTGCCGATTAAAATGTAATTCGGGATTGGAATGTCATCCGATTTTTTGAGGAACAATCGCATGTATGGTGCATGCCATTCATCATGTCTAAATTTTTTTTTTCGTAAACCATCACAGATAGCGATATTCATCAAGAGACAAAAAATGCTTGCAAGTAAACTGTCTATCAGTGCCTAAAAATTCAGGACCGTCAAAATAGTAGTAAAAAAGTTTTAGACCTCTTCAGATGTGAATGGTCAGTATTTTACCACCTACATAGCAACTACAATCAAAACGATGATATCACAAAGACCCTTTTTACGTTAGACATTCACATCCCGAATTTCATTTTAATCGGAAAAACCATTTTCCGATAAAATAAAAATAACGATTTTTTTTTTAATCTCTGGCGGTAGATAGCGCCTTACCGAAGCACTTTTGGATAGAGGTAAGTTGGGTTAAATCGTCCTATTTTGATACCAAGAATCCCTATGGTAGCGCGTTGCATAGACCATTTATGGACACCCTGTATATTGATACTTTTTTATCGAAGTATGGATAATATCTGGATGATTAAAGACTAACGAGAATCTATAATAACCGATAATGGATAATTATCGAAATACTTACAGAAAATATCAGACTGGAGCTGCGATACGATATGATACATCATAATCCATTATTTTAGTAATTAGTCTTTAGCCGAATTTAATATCTTTAATTTTGTTTGAATCAGTGTTACCAGATCTACCGTTTTTGCGGTACATTTAAGGATATTTTAACTTTTAAGGATTTCGAGAACGAGAACCCAATCGAAACGTAAGATGGGTCTAGCACGGTTCACGGCCATTTTCCATCGCAGTGGATTGCCTGTCGCTTGTCGCTATGAATACAGTATACTAAAAAATTATCGACAATGGACAATATCTATAATAGCAATATCGGACAATCTCGATATTATATCGATAACTGATATTATATCGATAATCTATATATCGATTTTACCGATAATTTTTTATTATCGATAATCGATAGTAAATTTCTATTATCGCGCAGCCCTAAATTCGTAACGATGAGACTGTCAAATTTATTGTTCAAAAAATCCGATACAACTGAATACCCAACGATCCTCGAGATCTTCCCACATAGTATACATAATTTTTACAACACACCTTAAGGGATTGATTCTGTCCCACCAGATCAGTGCATCTTTTAAAACAAATTTTTGAATCGGCATTAGTTTTACTTTTATTCGAGGTCCGTATATACAAAAAAACGACCCATTGGGAAAACTTTAACACCTTGGATGAAAGGACGATGTCTGGCATGGGACTTTAGTTGTGTTGACACCTTATGTCCTTCATATCTTTTCTCCTCGGTGAAGAAAGCAGATTCTGCAGCCGCTTTAACTGAACTCAGGAAGAAAAATACTTACGCTACCTTAGATTAGAACCTACGTTTATTTTCAATGGAATCGCTGTAGAAACCATGGGTCCTTGGGGAAATGAAGCCAGAATCATGGCAGCGGCAAAAAAACTGGAGAATCCCGCTCAACCCAGTTTATTTACCCACGAATCGCCAGTCTAGAAATCCAAAAAGGCATAGCCGAATGTATTTTAGGAACTTTACTTTTTTTGTAATTCTTTTGACGAAATTTACTATGTTTTAAAACACCGTTGTTATATGTAATTTGTTCCTTTTCTATTATTTTAGTATATGTATAAAAAAAAATTCCTGTAAATATCTGAACAAATAAAAAATTTGAAATAGCGCATTTTTTGATTCGGCATTAAGTAGTTACTTTTATTCGAGGTACAAAATTTCATCTACATAATTCGGTTCATAACTAACGGAGATGTGAAAAAATCGGATTGCGCATACGCAAAACAAATGTCTTATCGGCATCAGTTACTTTTATTTGAGGTGCCTAAAATACAACATTTCATTCAATTATCTTAAGAAATAAAAAATTTGAGATTGCGCACGCTTAAATTTGTCATTAGTGTGTGACGTGAATATTTGTGTCATTTTAATTTTGCAGTACTCTGTATATTGGATTTTGTCGTGAGACCCCATTGAGTTAGAAAACTAATGGAGGGAATCAAATGCTTGGCCAGACCACAGAGTTGTATATAAGTAAATAGAGAGGCAGTCTTCGATCATACATGGAGGCAGTACATACGACCCTGCGCGTGGAAAAATAACTCCAACTACAGTGACCGACTTTTAATGGCGGAGCCGTTGGGACTCATGCGCAGTGCGTAAAAGGGAATCAGCACGATTTTTGGGTGCATTCAGTTACAATCACAAAACAAAATAGCAATAACTTTTCAGATGCTTCAGATTCATTTGTAAATAAACAGACGCTTTGGAGCAATAATTGAAGCATGCCCATTATACTCTTTACCGCCATTTCAATGTTTAGTAGGCGACGATCTGTACATAAATAAAGGTTATTTTAAAATGCTCCTAGAAAAGTGCAAGAAAAGATCAAATATATGGGTGGAAGGAAAACTCTTCGCAAGCAATTGTTGAAACTTGGTTTTCGATACAAGAAGTGTCGGGACAAACGTACGTTGGTAATGGAAAGAAGTGACATTGTAGTATGGCATCTCATTATTTAAGAAGATTAAAAGAAAATGAACAACCTGAATGTGACAAGAAACCCGTTATATACTTGCACGAAACCTATATTCACCCATCGTACGGAGTGAGTAAATGCTAATAATCAGATAGTTTATAATAGGGCTGGTCAGAGGTACATCGTAGTATGCTGGTAGTCGTTCTGGTTTTGTAGAGGATGTCGCACAGTAAATCGGGGGATTATTACGGTGATATGAATCATACCAACTTTATGCAGTGGTTAGAGAAGCAGCTTATACCAAATTTACCAGCGAACTCACGCACCTTATCAGTGTTCAAATAAATAAGCCACCAACAATGAATAATCGTAAGGAAGTGATACGTTCTTGGTTAGAAGCAAATAACATTCCTACGAGAAATGAATTTATTGACAATGTACAATTTATTGTGAACACCGGCAGTTCCGATGATGATTAGTGGTCAAGTGACGATAATGAATGAAAAAAAGTTAAAAGTTGTGTGTTAATTTAGTCAATGTGAGTGTTATTAATTTCAATGTGATTGTTTCAATAACTGTCCATATTTACACAGCAGAAGTGCATCAGAATTGTAAATTGTGTTGAACATGAACATCTAACAATCTTACATGTGTTTACGTTTTGTTGAAATAAAATTATTAATTTTACTGTTTCCCTTTGAAGTAATGCAACTCATATCGCGTGGCTCACTTATTTATATTTAGTAGAGTCAAATTTTGCATGAGAATGTACAGTCTAAATTTCCAACGTCCTCGGATACACCCTGTCAGGGACCTTCTGAGCGTGGTGCCACTATACATACATACCCTCTGCCGATGCTCCATTTTTGAGATATTTGAGTTATTGGCATTTGAAGTTTGTCGACTTTGTGGCTACCCGTATTCAAACTGTGTTTTTGGCATTGCACACCTGAAATTTTGTCCCGCACCAAAATAAAATTTCCTTATTTTATTCTTTCATTGCTTATTTTTATACCTACTCACTGAGTGCATAAATAGATCTTTAAACTCGATCGCACGACAAATATACGATTTCCTTTATACCAGAATCTCAAAAAATCTTTTCTCGATTCTGATGTAAGCCCCTTACCAGCTTTGTATTGTAGTCTACTGTATTAAAAGTTCTTAACGATTGTAATGTTTCTTATTTATTCAAGACACAGTGTTAACAACATCATTCACCACACATTGAATTTCTTTTCAAATTTGTTGCAATGAGAAACCATATTATTCTCAAGCCGAACCTGCTTTAAGGATCATTTAATTTGAAGCCGGTTCTGTTGTCGATTACTGCGCACACTCACCAACGGCCTGCGCAAGGTTCAATTTTTCGCTACAAGACTGTCTCTCTTATTACTTATGTACAACTCTGTGGGCCAGACGTAGACCCATATATATAAGAGAAGTATATGGATAACCGCCTATGATTGCAATGTGCAAATTGTTCGCCATAAAAGAGAGCTGCCCTATTCCTTAGTCCTGAACTCTCTGTATTTATGCGCAAACTCCCCAAGTAAATATTTACTTCTCTCCGCCTACTTTTAAGTAGCGCCAATTTCAAATTTCATAACCTATAACTCGAAAAAGGGTTAAAATTTTATTAAACCATTATTGTGTGCAATTACCATATGTAAACACAACCACGCACCATTCGGAAACTTCACCCAGACTTCTATTCGCTTCATGCAGGTTCATATTCACCACAATGGCCCCATTCAACCTGCCGACTCCTATCACTATTGTCTGATCCTGTGATGTCTTTAGATAAGTATACTAGCTGGCCGGGGCCCACCCTCCCAAGACCAATCGCCGCCGAAGCGTTTCTTACCTGTTGACTATATCGCTTCGATTCCCCTACTAGCATCTTCACCGATCAGAGACGACAATTTGAATCTTCCCTTTTTTGTGCCCTCAACATTGTTTTCGGCACACAAGGATTCGGGACCTGCAGTCAATGGCCTACTTGAATGATTTCACTGCCAACTCAAATCAGCGCTCACGTGCCACCCAGTGCGTTCTGGTTCAAGGTACTCCGTATCGTTCTGCTTGGAAACTGTAGCATTTTCACAGAGAACTTTCGAGCTTCCTCAGCGGAGTTTGTTTACGGTTACACCCTTCAACTTCGAAGGCAAACTTTGTAACGATTTAGAAACTTAAATTGCAATTGAAATAATATACCTATAGGGATTATATCTTGAATATAACTTGAAATTGGATAAGTTCGCATCAGCTAATAATATAAAGTGATACATTACCAATGTTCAAAGAAACACAATTAAATTAAAGACATTTACTGATTTTAAAATAAAATTAACATTGTCGAGTTGGAAATCTTTTAGGTGTTAGTGACCCCCATATAACTTCGTGCCCCCATCATGCTTGCATGCATCCAAATCAATGCAGTCATAGCGGTTAAAATGACGAGAACACAACCTTGTTTTTACATCATCGAATTCCGATAGTTCACATGCTTGCAGTCACCGATTCTTGTTGCTTTTTTCACTTGGGAATATCTAATAACAAGTATGGCATAAATGAATTGATTGCAGATAATTGCATTGTAACTTACTTGTGCCATGAAACCGAAGAATCCACTTTCCCACAAGTACCTGCATTTCTTTATTTCTAATAATGAACACACTAAAATTGCCAAACATTAGGTATTCCTTTACAATTATTGTGTATCACTTACGTATACTGATTTATATAACTACGAAAGGCTTCTTTACTATTAAAATTAAAATTAAACAAAAGTTCAATAACTCATAAACAAAACAAACAATTTAACCTCAATCCGTTATGTCAAACTGGAGTAAATGCTTGGTAAATAACACTACATATAATAACAGGCAAACGCATTAGCGCCTAGTTCCCAACTAATGACAGAAGTATATTTCCATCCACTAACGTTGGCGATAGGCGTGTCCACTCGTTTATCCATATACTTCTCTTATATATATGCGTAGACCACGGGAACCAAAAGTGGCCTCTACTGTGATTAAAGTACCACACCACTTCCGTTATCATTAGCGTCTCACTTCAGTGGCGTAGAGATATAATTTTCTTTCCACTAATAGGAATAATAACAATAAAAACGTATAGAAGGAGTAAAATACATGCTCGTGGTAAAGTAAACAAAATAGACAAGGATGGGAAAGTATGCAGATTTAATATAATCATTGATTACAAATCTAAATATACATCGATGTGTTCCAGTAGTATAATTAAGGCCAGTTTACTATAGCCACTACAACTTGACAACTCCCATTAAATCCACTGTGTTGATCAATAGCTACAATTGATTGGTTGGTCTTAGGTTCATTACAAGTTTTGATAGTACTTACCTACTGCATATTTGACGAGATATTTGATGAACATTTTCCGGTGCAACCTTTGGTCGAAATCCAAATCACAGTCAATGAAGCGTTGTGAGCACAAAAGCAAATTTCGAGAGCTGTTCTTGAGATATATTTACAAATGTTAGGTAACCATTTATTTATGGTATTATTGGTTCGTTTGGAAAACTAAGAAACATAAACTAGGTACCTACAACCTCGCCTACAACATGATAAATGACATGTCTTACCGATGAAAGGAAATGCCCTGTTTCTTCCCTTTATGAGAAATTTTGCATGATACGCAGCTAATCATTCTCAATTCACAAAATTGCGTGTGATAAAAACACGATGCGGCAGTTAGTTATTTATATAAACCAGAGCACAAACCGATCCGAAATTATTAGGTACTTTAAAATGGCAAATTTAATAAAATTTGAATTTGGTGGAAAACTGACAGTGACAGGACCCGCGTTTGGTTTTCATGTGTCAAATAATGTCGGCCAAAATGTACCTTCACGGGAACCTATCCACGCGAGTGGCCTCTATCTGTGGCAACTTCCGTCTACAAAAATTCTTACCCCCTCTACCATTATATTCCCTCCATTAGTTTTCTCAATGTGAGACCCATTGCCATTCGTTGAACGTAGCCGTACGAATCACAGAACAGTAATTGTTCTGTGGTACGAGTGCTTTCTATAAAAAAATAGTATACAAACCTCGCTGGTCAGTGGTTCATAACCAACACCTCGCGCTTATACCTCACCTCCGCGCTTCGCGCGTCGGTGAGGTACCTTAAGCCCTCGGGGTAGGTAATGAACCACCTCCCAGCTCGGTATGTAATCTACTATTCTCGGCGCATGACAAATTATTCACTACTTCGGAGTTCGGACCCGTTGATGGTCTGTGGTTCGGACTTCCTCTTTAGCCTTTGGCGGGTATGCTGTGCGTTGGCGAAGTGCGAAGCACAGCGAAGTCGCTTTGTGACATTCTTCTGTGCCTTGTGATGAATCTTAATATCCTCATCCATCGATTTTGCATTTATCTGAGGGGTAATTACTACAAGTATCATTGGTACAAGATTCTACACCTGTATATTTTTTTAGTGTACCGTATTTGTGGGGGTATAAAAGAAGATCATTCTTTGTGGATCATTTCTACCTTGGCTAAGGGGTGAGTTATAATTCTGATCAGTTTGTGTGGATTACTTTGGAGAGATTTGCATTCTAAAGCGTGTATTTCTGTAGCTGATGGTTTTACTTTGACAAATAATATGGGAATTGGAATTGGAAATATTTATTTCTGTTATATCGAAGTCAGTCAATCCATTTACATGAAACCTGAAAGGAGTTCAGTGTCGTAATTGGCATCAGCAGTCAGCATGCGTACCTAAATCTATCTACCTGTCAAACGACAACATTTGGATAATGTCTAGACATCGCCACCATCTTGTTATGAATTATCTACGTAATTTATTTATACTTAAAGTCACTATAACTTCAAACTGTTTACTTCATTTTGTGTAGGTATAACTATTCACGTTTTTCTAATCAAAAGTCACGATTATTTACTGTAAATTTGGTAAATGCTGTTCATCTCTGTTTCAAAGACTGTAGTAACATCAGATTTTATGTTGAATTACCGTTGCCACTTCGGTAGGTTATTTCCAAGTAACATATTATTTTCAGTTATGGTTTGAATGTGCATCTCCGTTCACAGAGCTCTATGAACGAAGAATCTTTGCGGTAAGTTTTTATACATCTACAATCTTGTGTTGTGTGTGTAGATTTAGGCTTGGATACAACAGCTGCAGTAGTATACTATCATACATTTTGAGTTTTCAATTTAATTTAACTTTGTGCAGTTGAGCCGAAGTACCATAACTTGAAGACGAGATTTAAGTTGCATTTAAATATTTACATTTATACATACCTAATCATTGTTTTGTTATAAACATATATGGGTATGTAAAGATACGTAACAACCTCATCAGTCATCACAATTGTTTTACCTGTAAGCATTCTTCTTACGTAGCTGCCTTTGCTGCAGGAATAAAGGAAAAATGTGTAAAATACATATATTATGAATAAATAAAGCAATACAATTCAAATATCGGAACAAACTACTACACTTCAAGAAATAACATTACACAAATAAAAGCAACAAAATTCATAAATCAAATGCGAGAAAGCATAATGAGGAACAATATTTACTGATACTACCTACAATATATACATTATAAAATATATATAAATTCAAAACTTATACAATGCATATAACATAACACAAATAAGATGATAATCTCGATGATAATATACTTCGAATATTAAATATACGCATTAAACATTAACTATTTAAACATTTTTTCTTCTAGAAAATCTTTGTTGAGCAGAACGGAACCAATCAATTTCAGCTTGCTCAATTGCTTGGTCTTTTAAATCACGAACTGCTTCTACAGAATAATAACATAAAATATCAATTCGCGTATAATCAGTTTCTCTTACCAGGCATGACTTTAATTAACTGTAAATTTTCAACACTGTGATTTTGCTTCCGACCCCTCCACAAGCAAATGGTAGCAAAGTCAAAAACCTTTGAAAGCATTTTAAAAATTGTAGTTCTTTCATTTGACCCGCTTGAACGTTTTAATAGTTGAAGCTAGATAAAATGTAATAATAAAGTTTTTACCTAGGTTTTTACCAAATACATAGTAAAGATATTTACCAATGCTGTCGATTGAGCTTCCTGCTCAAAAAGTTCTAGTTCATCAATTGTTTTGATTGGCAGTTCCGTTGATAGAACTGGTACATTTTGGTGGATCTGCGCAATGTTTAACTTTTTCTTTATGGCTATTAATCGTAATCGGTCTGTATGACTTTGTAATAGTAAATCGCATTTCACCACTATCATGAATATTTTGAAGCAAACTATAAACTGCAATTAAGATATGTAAAGACATACTTCATTTAATAGAACACGTATAATATACCTGCTTCATTTGTAAGAACACTATCCATTGGGGAAGGCAGATCTGGAGTATTAGAATGAAGCGAGGTTCTATCTTGCTGAGAAGGAATGATCACCACAGGTATATCTGTCAACGACATGTCAATATTTGATATTTGTTCAGCAGCAGTTGATATATCTTCAGCAGGAGTTATACTAGGAAGAGGTAAAGGTGATAATGAATCGTCTTTTGGGTGTTCATACTGGAAATCATCAATTTGGGTAGTAACTTTGTTTTGTGCTGTATCTTCTTCTACCTCAGTTTTTTGCATCTTCGTAAGTGTCTAAGTATATATAATATACATTATAAACGCAAAAATGGAGGTGACACAATACCAATCATTTTTTCGTACCGTAGTAATATCCTACCACCATGACTGATGTTACTGCCCATGTTTTGTCTGGATTCCTTTTCAAGCGAAATGATTTTTGGTATTCTTTCAATGCCAGATAACTTAAGTAAGTGACATTGTCCTTTTGGTGAAGCCATTTCTTTAAAACGATAGTGTACTGCTCTCCATCCTTCTCAGATACAGGAAGATCATAGACAACTGCATAACTATTTGGCTAAAAAATAAGATGATTTTAATACAAAATGCACACAATTCATAAATATTATTACATTATTGAACTTCACATTTGGTGCAGTAAAGGCATCACAAAAAAAATTTCCATCATAGTCAGGAACTTGGATACATTTGCAAAGCACATCTTTATGAGAGAATGTTTCTTCGGCGAAGTCTAATGTAAAATTATGTTCAATGGTATGTATTTTTAAAAATGTAGGATACAGATTACAGGTTTGAGCGTTTCTAATTTTTCTTCCTTTTATCATGATCACCAATGAACTGACAATTTTTGTGATTTGAATTATTGTGTTAGATTTTGGTAAAATACAATTATTTCTCGTTGTAGTATAATTGTATAATTATACGTTGTAGTAATTTTTATAACAGCAAAATCACATTAATTACATTTCCTCGCTCACTTTGTTTTGCTACTATCTGCGTTATATAGATTTGGATTAGCCGTAGGTATTAAATAGGTACCTACTCGTCAGGCACGTGCGATGAAAGCAAAGAAAGAAAAATGTTTTGATTTAATTGATGCAGTGAATGCCGATGAGCGATGTGTCTGTTAGTGTGCGTACGAATTGTGCGCGTTTGTAGCTGCACAAAGTGTAATCTGAATGACAAGGAACGAACCGTGCAGTGTGCTTGTGCTTGCACTCATGGCTCAAACGTATAATAACACGATTACCAACAGCAACACCAAAATGTGCTGGTGAGCTGGAAGCTCTTTTTTTTAGAGTCGTTCGTTCGCAGCACACTCAACTGTGCCACGCTCGACCCGCTCACGTGCGACCCATCACTACTTGATGATACCCGACGGCGAAATTTTCCATCTTTACGCGCGGGCATGTCAATACCCAATTTTGCATTCCTTTCTGGCAGCTGGAAGACCTAAGAAAGTTCTTTGAAGGTGAAATTCTTTGGGTTAGGGAGTTCTAACCGCTTTCTTTACTGTGTCGTTTTCTTTGCGGAGTTTTTTTCTCTACTGCAGTCGGTCGCCTAAGTACCTTGGGTTGATTTGGTTTTTTTTCTTTTCTACAGCTTGTGGGACCCAAGTAACACACATAATATATTTTTAATAAATATTGCATATATTGTTAAAAATGTATAAAGTATAATATGTTTAATACATTCTGAGTAAACTTTTTTGTTCTATTAATATAATATTTTTCTCATAAAAAAGCTATTAAATAGATTCAAAACATTTATTAAATAGGAAAAAAGGAAATTTTATTTTATAAAAATCAAATATAAATAAAATACATACAAAATACTAACACTAACTCATACAATATAACAACAAAATAAAAATAATACATGCATTCTCCTTATTCCAATTCAACGTCTTCTTTACTAGGCCCCATTATAATGCTTGACCTAACAACAAGAGAAAACTATTTAGTTCTATAATCAAATATTCGGTTATTATTGTGACATTAATTTTGGCAGAAAAAAATTGAAACTTAATTGAATCAATAAGTAAAATCGAATTTGTTACAAGAACTTGTCAAGTACAATTGCTTGCTGGCAGCTACTCTAGAATACACATTTTCCAACTATAACTATTAAGTTTCACTTTCTACACTTAGCAAGAATCTTGATTAGGTTTACTGCTCATAAAATTACAATTTACCAATTTTTACAATTATAACACAGAGAGCAAACTTTCCAGTAAATCTTGTAAAAGTTTTGGTACAACCCAGACAACACAAACATATCTTATGGACAGCCATTTGCAATACAAAAATGGACATCTGTTTTATCTTATGTATATCCACTTTTGGATATGGTACATAAAATGGATGTCCATAGGATTATACGGATGACACAAACTTGTACATCCATGTATAATCCACATATGTATCCTTTTTGGATATCCACTGGAAGTACTTCATACATACATAATTGTAACATTTCACATGGATGGACATCCATAGAACGTTACTTGTTTTACCAACCAAATTAGATAAAGAAAGGAGACATAGATAATAAAATAAAATTTTATTCGTTGTAAAACATAAATAAAAAACAAACCATTTTCTAAAAAAATTAACAATCATTCAACATACATATATAATATACCTAATATAACTACTTCTTAGCATCGTGTCGTTCCTTGGCTCTTCGCAGCCATTTTTTTATCGCCTCAGTTGCTTTCTTATCACTTTTCAAGTTTGATATTGCAGCGGCTTCTGTAATTAAAATATTGGTATCGCCTTGGGGTGCGCACTAAAATGTGTGCAGTCACTATTAACAATATAAAATTCTAAGGTCACTTACCTAACAAAAGATCACACAATCTCAAGCTCTTGAAAATTTTCTTTTTTTTGACCCCATAGTAGGAATATTCTTTTGCTACTTCGTCCGTAATTAGTACACTCAAAGACCGCCTAACAAAATCATAAATATTGGAACCTCCAATTCTTGAAATATCTTCGACCTAAAACAGAATAGGTATCTGAATCAGTTTAAAATTGTAGTAATAAATAATAATAAAAAGGAAAGTTTAAGGAAATTCTGTAGAAATTTTATGGATATAAGGGATTTCAAAGGAAGTAGCGTTACACATTTTTTTACTTACCGTCCCCTTGAAATTGATGTCAGATTTTAAATAAGAATCCAGTTCCTTCAGTTCCATTTCTCCGTTAATCGGTAAATGGAAATTATTCAAAAAATTTTCTCTATAAAATTCTTTCGTTTTGTTGCCATGAAGTTTTTGCACATCCTCATTAAACTGAAGAAGTGAAGCTTTCATAGTTGTTAATTGCCTTAATATTTCTCTTAACATGTTTTCTAAAAAAAAGCACATACTACAATACACACATTGTGAAATGGCTGGTCAATTTAAAAACAATAAAGTGTAATTTTAGAACAATTTTAAAACTAAATATACATACCATTTTTAGATTGATGTAATTGACATGTACAGCTACATGTGGTGCTTTTAGATCGAATTACAGCCTCCGGGCGAAATTCACTAACTGATAGAGTACCGACTGAGCTAGGAGTAACAAGTTGATTGCTTATTATGTGTAAATTGTTGTTGTCTGTTGTTGCCTTTGAAGTTTTCTTACTATTTCTTTGGGACTGATTATCATCTATACACAGATACTTATATTAGGTACCAGTTATTCTCTATGTATAATAAACCTTACATTTCAGCACAGGTGGCTTCTTCATAACAATTGTGTCCTCTTCACTGTCTGTAGAATCTGCCATATACCTTCTAGACGGTACTGTTTTTCTTTTAGTAGAAACGTGTTCGTCATCTGTTGTATTAAGATCAGATGTAAATTGCGCGTTGGAAGACTTTTTACATGCAATACCATAGTCCTCTACAAAATCATGAATTCAATTAGTTTATTATATAAAAAGTATTCTATTTACAAGTACAGATTGTCCCTTACTATATGTGCTATCTTTAAAAATTCTGATGTCATACAATGGCCAGCAAGTATTTGGTTGAGAATTCTGTTTAATTTCATGTAAAACTTTGTCCCTAGCTTGTGGTGGCCAATAACACTGACCATTAAAAATCCATTTGGTTGGAACAGCTTCCACTTCTTTGGTCTCCACAAACTCCACCACAGTCCAACTCATTATCTAAAAGAAAAATTAACAAGCAGTTATATTGCATAACCATTCGAGGAGGGAAATATTCAGATATATACCTAATGGTATCGGTTAAGTGAAATGCAAAAAAAAAATTAATTATTGTTAATTATGGGTATAAATTTTCATTCTTTCTTTAGTCAAAAAAGTAATGGCTGTTGGCAGGTATTATGTAAAAGAATTAATAATATATACAGACTTATGATACTATAGCTATAATATTTAAATGTTCATATTTTATCACTAAATATAAATGTTGATTGAAGCAGAATAACCCACTAACAATGGTGCATAGGAAAAAGGACATAATTTGAATCTTTTAATTTAAGTTTAATATATTTATGAACAATTTGCTCTATTTCCCACTCCACACAAGAGCTGGTGTCTTCTGTATTCACCAAATAAATTCCTAAAGAAGAGGATGGGCATGGTGTACAATAAAAATCATCTGCCACTCAATTGTTGTACAGACTCTAAAAATAAAAATAAATTTCTTTTACTGTATTCAGTGGTTTTTAAGACTTACTCGATAAGTGGCAAACTCCAAGCGGCAATGTTTTCAGAGTGACTGGCTTATCTGATATACAAAAGTGTGATTTTTTTGAAATATTACACATACTTTTATATGGTGCTGGTAATGCCCTCATTGATGTTGAGGATGCTGTTGAGGTGGAGGGTGCCACTGAAGGGTAGGTAGTTGTATATATAGGTTTCTTTTAAAGCCTTGATTTCTAGGAGATTTCCTAGGCGAATTTCTTGCTATTTTGGTGGGGGGCGGATATGACCTCTCGGTACTCTCGCTCTCTGCTGACGATGATGATCGCCTCTTAGTGCGCATTAAAATATAAATTCAATACTTCTGCCATAATCAGTTATAAAAAGGAAAGTATCTACATCCATGAATATTATTTATAGAATGAGCATTATTTTCTAGTAGAACTCATCATAATGTTCCTTGACAATTGTAATTTTTATAGTCAGCCAGTCATCTTCTGGGTATGTACAATTTTTTGCGAACTTTGTAGCACTAGCTGCTCCCTTATCAGGATACCTCATTGCAGATGGCGACATTATCCAAATGCTTGGAATGCAATCAAATTCCTCTTCATCATCCTCCATAATTTTTTGAATTACCGACCACTGTACAATGTACATTCAAAAACAAATCATTCATTTCTCATTCTCTTGCCTCTTTAAAATAACTAAAAATATAAGTAAAGAAATTACCATAGAATTACAAACCACTTTAGAATAATCCAATGCTATCTTGTTATATACTTTATGTTTGTCGCCAACATAAAACCAGAGACTTTTAATCACATAGACTGGCACTGTCAAAACGAAGTTGAATCAAAAATGTGGGCGCCATGCTTATTACTTCAAAGAGCGGCAAATTTGAACTGTTGACTGCAATTAATATTTTTACTTGTCTCCTCCTTATAAGATTTCTATTTGCCCTAAAACGTGTGAACAATAAGAATCATAAAAAACATTACAAATATTTATTGTCCACGAAATAACACCATTTTTGTACATTTTTGTCGTATGTTTGTTCCTCGTTCTTTTTCATTTAATAATATACACATATGTCTTATCCTAACAGCTACATACTTAGTTAAAATAAGGGAAAGTAAATTATTGAAATGTAATTCTAAATTAGACAGATTTGATTCATGATTTTGGAATTGATTTTTATAATTATTGAATAAATCTAAGCCTACACTTTGAACTGTACCAACAAATACTTTGTTAAATATATCTTTGGTTAATTTTAATTGCAACACATTTTGTAATATCCGCTCTGCAGCATAGCATAATGTTTTTGTGAATTCTGACGGCACAAATAAGTAGTCACCGTAATCTTTTATTGCAATTAGTCCATTTTTAGGTGCATTAAAGTCTATAGCAATCTCCTTACACCCATTACATGTTACACAATCATTCACTCTTTTTGCACAATGATCAACTTTATTGGCATCCACTTGTATTTGTCGCAATGTCTCCATTGTAAATCCAGCTTCTGCATTAACCTCTGCAGTCCAACTTCTAATAGTTCGTGGATGTGGTAAGGTCATGCATCCACGCAAAAAATTATATGCATGCGAGGAGTAGAAATGCATCGATACTGCAAATTTCTTAATTGTTTCAGAGTAATGTTTTGCTTTTGATCCTTTTTGTAGTTTTATGATTTCCTTTAATAAGTCACTAAGACTTACCACCTTTACATATGTTAAGTGAACGACAGTTTTGCAATTCAGTTTTTATTTCAGAAATTGTTGCATGTAGTGAATTTATTACTTTCTGTAAACGACGGATTTTTTGTTGTGATAAAATCATTTTGTGAGATTGATTGTT